AAATGCTAGGCTCTTTTGAGCCCCTCCCCCTTCCCTCCTATCATGCCCCTCCCCCTCCTCACCCCACCCTGGACACCAGGCAGGCAGAAGCAGCCCCAGCTGGGCTCTTTCAGATCAAAGCAGCAAAACACCAGAAAGGAAGTTGAAAGAACCCTGCTCTTTATCACTCAAGCCACACCTAAGCTTTCCTGACACCCCATAACTGTGTGCCTTGCACCAAGTGGGAAATAAACAATGAGCAGCCAGTGTCAAAAAAACAAAAAAGCCAAAGGTAGAAGATAAAGAGAGAATCTTAAAAGCAGCAAGAGAAAAGCAGAGAGTTACTTACAAAGGAGTGCCTATAAGACTATCAGCTGATTTCTCAGAAGAAACTTTGCAGGCAAGATGTATTCAAAGTGCTGAAAAGCAAGGACCTACATCCAAGATTACTCCATCCAGCAAAGCTATTTTTTAGAATGGGAGGACAGATAAAGTGCTTCCCAGGGAAGGTAAAGCTAAAGAAGTTCATCACCATGAAACCATTATTATATGAAAGATTAAAGGGACTTATTTAAGAAAAAGAAGATCAAAACTATGAACATTAAAAAGTCAACAGCCCTGACTTGTGCGGCTCAGTGGATTGAGTGCTGACTTGAGGACCAAAGGGTCACTGGTTCAATTCCAAGTCAGGCCACATGCCTGGGTGGTAGGCTAGGTCCCTGGTGGGGGGCACACAAGATGTTTCTCTTCCTCTCTTTCTCCCTTCCTTCCCCTCTGTCTAAAAATAAATTTTTAAAAAGTCAACAAATTCACAACTATCAACAACTGAATCTAAAACAAACAAAAAATAAACAAACAACAAACAAACTATGCAAACAACCAAAAACAGGGAGAGAATCTTAAGTATGGAGATCATTTGGAGGGTTATCAGCCAGTAGGGGGAAGGAGGAGCATGGGGAAAAACGTACAGGGATTAAAAAGCATAATTGATAGGTGCAAAATACACAGGGGCATGTTAAGAATAGTATAGGAAATTGAAAAGCCTAAGAGCTTATACACAAGAGCCATGGGCATGAACTAAGGGGGAGATTGCTGGAGGGAATGGGGGTATTAGGTAGAATGGGGCAAAGGGGGAAAATTGGGATAACTGTAATAACATGAGCAATAAAATATACTTAAAAAATTTCAGGGATGGATATCTGAGCTGAATTATCTGGGCTTACTGTTTTAAGCTCTTATTTTATCTCTGTAGACATAGCCCTAGAGTTCAGTGAAATGTGAAAAAGCTAAGTAGGTACTCTATTTTATGAGATTCTATTAAATTTTTCACTGATTTATTACATGCTTATTACAGACGCTTCCAATAGCTCAGAATGGTATAAAGAAAAATTGCTTTCCCTCTACTGCTGCTTGCTTTCTCCTGCCTCTGCCCCACACACACACGCAGGCACACATGCACAAATGGCTCCCAATTTCCACTCCCCAGAGGCAATCTTTATAGACAGTTCCTTATAAAATAAAATACTTCAAAAATGAACACACTGCAAGACAATTTATAGATTTAAAAAATATGTTAAATTAAAGAAAAATCTAGAATTATCCCGTGCTATTCAGGGTTGGTGAAATCTCCAACCCCCTTGGAACAGTTAAATGGCCGACGGCTGGGTGAGGGCGCTGAAACAATAGCCCTGTGAACACAGGGCTAGAGCCGACCCGCAGCAAAGACGGAACACAGACTTCAAGGAACACCACCTCCTCCTCATGGTTAACAACTTGATGACGTTCTTCAACATGTTTTAATGATTATCATACCTTCCTCTTCACAAAGGATTGATTTATTATGGTTTAAATTTAAAGAATACTGGTTTCCCAGTTTTGAATCAGGCTTAGATTACAGAACACATAAAATCAATGACTTTGTTCTAGTCAAGAAAAAACAGTGTTCGTTTAAGTGCAAAAGAAACAGTCCTGGGGAAAAATTCTTCGTGCAGTTTTCCACACTAACTATTCCCACCACTAGTTTGCACCCTCTACTCCTTCTTCACCCCTGTCATCAGCACCGCCACAATGAACACTTCTATGGCACCTTAAAATTCACAAACAACTTTACATACTATTTATTTTAATCCTCAAAAAATTTTGTCAGGTAGAAAGAACAATAGTACCTCCTTAATTTGCAGATAAAAAACAAGAACAAAAACAAACAACCTTGAAGCTCAGAGCAGGGAAGTGATTGGCCCAAGACCATTCATTCTGTATAGGTATGCTCACCCAGGTACACTGATGACTCCTGAGTGACCAACTACACTTCTGACTCAGAACCCTCCTCTCAAGCTCCAGGATCCATCACATATACAACATCTGCACTTTGGAGTTTGTTCCAAATGTGGTTAAACTCAGTTTCCAGGCTAAGCTCATAATATTCTCTCATAAACTTTTTTCTCATTCAAAAGTTTTCTTTCTCAGTGACTGACACCACTATCCTTTCAGTTGTTCAAGCCAAAAACTTAAGCATCCTCTTTAACCACCACCCCGTTCTCAATATACATATTGATCTCATCGCCATGTCCTATAGATTTCACCTTCTGAAGATTTCTCAGATCTGTCTGTTACTTATTGTCTCCATCATGAACACAGTGGTCCAATACCCCGGCATCTCACATTGAAGACATTTCCATGTTACACCCTGCCTTTCCCTCACCCCCATGACTCCACCCATTTTCCAAGCTGCAGCAGTGAGAGTAGTCGGGTAATTTCCTCTGCTTAAATTCTTTTGTTGGCTTCCCAGTGCTCTTCAGATAAAGATAAGACTCCTCAGTGGGGCCTATACAGGCCAGTAGGGTCTCTTCCTTGTGAACTGACAAGGTGAACGAGCCCTTTCCAGAGTTTCAGAATACCATGATGTCATTTAAAAAATGAATATTTAAGTTTCTGCTTTTAAAAAAAAAATAATGCATAACATTTAATAAGTTCATAGATTAATTGTTGAATGACATTTGCACTTGTGGCTATTTTGAGTAACATATGACCATATATAAATCTTATTGATCTTTCTGAATTTCTTTCTCAAATATAACCAAATTCATTATAGTATAACATATGCATTAATATACATGCACAAATACAGGGTCCAGCAGAAGTAATGCCTCCTTGAGTGTGGTTGGTAGGGTAATAATACAGGTGTAATAATTTATAGTTTTAATTTGAACATTTAACCTAGAATGTCATACAATGTGCTTGAGTGTGATATTGTTATGTTACAGAATTACATGCTTATGATTTTGTAATAAAACATTTTATAATAAAAAGGGGGCATTATTTGTGCCAGATCCTGTATATATAATGAAATATACGGAATGGGGCAAAGGTGGGCTTAAAGTTGTGAGTATACGAAATAGTTTATTCTCGTATGATTATTTGTTAATTATTGTATTATTTTCCACACAAACTGTAAACCTACTTTTGCCCTACCCTGTATAGTACTGATATAATATATGCAAATAATTATATAATTTATTTCATTGTGTGTATCAAACCTTTGGATAACTGGAGAAAGCGGGGCCCAGACACTTCCCCTGTGTTGTATGGATTACTCCTCTAAGGCTCTGAAAAACAGGGTCAGCTTCACGGGCATGTGACCTGCGCCGTCACCAGGGTCTGCACTTGGAAGGGCCCAGTGCTTGGTTTGTTGCTCTGCCCTTGCTGTCTTGAAATTCTTAAGTTTTGAAAAGAAGGCCTCACATTTTTGTTTTGCCCAGGGCCTCGAATTGTTTAACCAATTCCAGCTAGAAGGGATCTTCATGTGTTAAAGTTGAAGTCTCTCAAGTCATCCAGGGCCCGCGTGTTTACTGCACTTTATTTCTGTATTTCACGAACTCGACAGGAAAAGAGCTCTGAGGACCACCAGAGTCAGAATTACCAGTCAGTGGGAAGATCTATATATATTGTGGTCTATCATAGAGATTTCGGACCAACGAAACATAAGCTTCTACTCAATAAATGAGATTTCCAAGTACAGTGAAACCTGCTTAACAACTTGGGCTGGTGAGTGAGGTAATGCCAACAGATGGTTAACGCAGAACATGCCTTGGATTCAGCTGTTCTCATTCTTGAGATAAATCCTCGCCTAGAATATGGGGGAATAGCTGGGCAAAGAGAGGTAGAAATAACTTTACTGAAGAGTCTGGTGACAGCCACATTAGAAATAATTTTATGACATAAAAAGTCCTTCAAAACTTTTGTATTAAGCAAAATGAAGACCTGAACCCCTGCGGGAAACTGCCTGCATGTGAAAAATGTTTCCCTAACTGCTGCTTCCAGGATTGCAATTTTCATCACAAGCAAGCAAATGATGGTGTGGAAGACTCAGTGCAAAAGCTCACAGATGCTCATTGTAAAGCACATCCCGTGCTACTTTTATCTTCTTGAAGTTGAAAGGCTGTTGGCATCTGCATGTTACCATTTAAAAAACAATAATTATTAGTATTTTGCTTCAAAAACAAAGAATCCTAGGAGAACTTGTTTACTACTTGCCCTCATTAATTTAGGCCAATTTAAAAATTAATACCTAGATAAGATTTAAATTTTAGGCTGACCATTTTCCCCATGAACTCAGAATTTATTTAGGATATGAAAATTTAAATTTTCTGAGAAAGTTATGCTTTTCAGATAGAAATTAAGTAGTAACATAGTTTCTAGAAATTCCCATTAGGGATAAATGGGAAGCACTCAGCTAGGATGGTACATTCCAGTATAATGTAATTGGTATCAGACTTGGGTTCAAGTCTCTGCTTTGCTACTTACTGTGTGACCCTGGGAAGACTACTTGACCTTTCTAAGCCTCACTTTCCAAATTCAAAACAGGGATAACAGCACTGAATAAATGAGGTGGATGTGAGCATCGAAATTGTAGCACTGATACAAGAGTTCAGCCCAGTGACCAGTAGATGATAAACACTCCATAGACGCAGCTGTCATCATTGACAGGATTCTTCTAGGATTTTAATCTATGAAATAGTTACCTTATTGATAGGGATAATGTTTTTGACATTGTAGTAGAAGCCAAAATAAACCATGTTGAAAACTCCATGACGTCCCAAAGTTGCTGTAAATCCCTTGTTGAGGCCCTGGAGGCCCAAGCCTTCCTTCTTAATGATGTGTCTTGCATAACTCATAGTGGATGGTTGCTGCAGAGAGAGAGGGACACAGCCAGAAAGATCATCTTTGGGAATGTGAAACAGAGTAAATTACTATTGAGCTACCCTTCAAGCCAGAATTACTAGGGATTGTTTTTTACAAACATGAACAATCAGGCCTAAATCCGTGCTTTTAAAACTAGGAAACCCAAAAAGTAAACAAAATTGCATGTATAACAACAGCCTTAAAGGGAAGATTGTTGGCAAAGAAAACCATCTTTGGTGGAATTAGTGAAACTAATGTCATGTAATAACTATCACCACTTTCAACATGTTAATAGTTCTATCCAGTTCTGGATTATCCACACAAATGGAGGGGATTAGCCATATGGATACGCTAGTAATCCATAACTGTGTATAATCCAAAAGGAATTTATATCTGGTTCCTGAATTCAGCGTGTCTACCTTTCTAGTTATGTTTTCTAAAGCAAATGTTGCGTTGTCTCAATAGTTTAAACTGATGCTAGGTTAGAAATTGGGCACGTTTCTCTAAAAATAAATAAATAAAATCTTAGAAAAAAAAAAGCAAGCCCTGTCTGGTTTGGTTCAGTGGACTGAGTACCAGTCTGCAAACTGAAGGGTCGCCAGTTCGATTCCTGCTCAGGGCCCATGGCTTGGTTGTGGGCCAGGTCCTGGGTTGGGGGCATAACAGAGGCAACTGAATGATGTCTCTTTCCCTCTCTTTCTCCCTCCCTTTCCCTCTCTCTAAAAATAAATAAATAATATCTTTAATAAAAAGAAATCAGGCATGGATAAATAGCAGTTGACTGTAGACTTCCTCAAAAGGGTGGGCAATCTGTATGTACTCGCTATGATAAATGATAAATTGATAGTGTTGGGAGTACTGAGGTACCTTTACTTCACTCTTTTCCAATCCTCTGATTGGTTACCTAAGGCTGAAATACCTTGACTGCTGGATCCAGTCTATTGCTGCTTCTAGAACATGCTAAAGAGCTTGCTGTAGTTTTCCCTGAGGTTCCTAGTTTATTACAACATCTTATGTGGGATTTTAGAAAAGGTTGTTTCCTTCTTTGAAGGTACAGTACAAAGGATATCTCTTCTTGTTAACTTTTCAATAGTAAAGAGAGAGAAATATTCAGTATTTATTTATTTATTTTGCCCATAAGGCAAGCGGCTGGCATGACATTCATTTGTTATTTCACGGGGGCAGGATCCTGGAGCGGTTGTGGCGGTCTGATGTGCTTTCTGACCACAGAGAGCATGTATTTTCTTATCACATGCAATTAAAGCTTCATCAGCAGAACAGAACAGACCAAATCCAATCAAGACTTTTCATCTAATTTATATTTATAGCTATGTCATTAACACGATACATTAAATGAGCTTGTTTATATAGTAAGTTCTGTAGTTTTTGCTCATAAATGTTTTTTTAAAAGTTGAGTGTAGCTACAAGCCTACACTCAACTTCATCTTTTCATTTCAGAGGATTAATTAAAATAAATTATATTAAGCTTAAGGAAACTCTTTTATGTCACATGAAAAAACTCACATGAGAACATGTCTTAAAACAATAAAAGACATTTCATATAGGAAAACCAAAAATTCTCAGGTTACAGTTCACTCTGCCTTACAAAATGGAACTTTTTTGTTTGTGTTCTGGCAAATTGAATATCAACCCAAATTGTTTGTTTTCGTTTTCAAAATAGATGCGAGGACAAGTTGAACAGGAGTTCATTTCTGCTGGAGGGACTCCGGAAGTGCTGAGCAAACTGCTAGGCATGCTCTCTTGATCCGAGGAAGGCAGCCTAGAGGGCAGAAGAAAGGAGATGGGGAGGCTCCCCTGGGTGTGGAGGGTACTGGGCAGGAGGAGGCTGCCTGGGTCTAGACTGATAGACAGCGGTGCTCCCTGCGTCTAGCCCAAGCTTCCTCTCCATCTTCACCCAGTCTGAGGCCTCAAGTTCCAGGAAGATGAGAACTCACAGGCCACCTAGATTCTAGAGCAACAAAGGAACCGACAGCTTTGAATGAAAGTGCAGATTAACATGGTTTTCTTTAAATAAAACAGATCTAAAGTTGTTTCTGTTGTTTAAAAATCCTAGAATGCTAAATTATCGGTATTAAAAGAGAAGACTTCTACTAGATCTTGCTGAAGATGAATAAATATTCAAATGACATTTATGGATGGTCGACTGTCTGATTTTCACTGCTTCCGTGTTAGGTGGTTACAAAGAAGCATAGTACATGGATTTTGAATTAAAGTGCCTTGCTGAGTTTGAACTCTAGTTACGAATCATTAAATAAATCAAAGGGTGGTATAGTAGCTAGAAATAGTGGGGTAGAGCTAGACAGCCCCAGGTCTGGGTCTTAGCAATACCACTTGCTAGCCTGGGCAATTATTTTACTCTTTGATTTATCCTCACTTTACTCATCTGTGAAATAAGGATAATAATACAATCCTCTTCCTAGGATTGTTGTGATAAGTAAGTCCATGAACTTTGTCCTATGTAAGAATTCATTGTGTGCTAGCTGTTAATAACAAGAGCAATTATGTTGATAAAGAGTAGTTATAATAATAAAATAAGAGGTAATTATTTTTTTAGTTGAAGACAATGACAATTCAAAAGGTGGAGGCTGTTTCGAAGTAGAGGAAGGACATGAATAACCAGCCTCTTCCTTCACATTCCTTCTGACTATCCTTTCCCTACCCCAGAGGCCTGTGTGCTGGTGACAAAGTCCAAAAGAAATGCACCTAGAATGCAGATCATAGGTCTGCTTCTTCTGAGGCTCAACCAACTTCAACCCCTGGGCTAGAGATCTCCTTCCAAGGTTAGCTCCTTACCCCAGAGGCTTGCCTCTTTGGAGCAGTAGATCCTGTAAATTGGCCTCTTTCCTGTCCCTCAGTAAGAATCATAGGTAAGAATTCTTGCTTGATAAGTTTATAGACTGTAGAAGCAAGGCCACCCAGGAGCAAAAGTTGGGAATGGGAAAAATTCTAATTAGCCCCCACCTCACATGGTTTACAACTTAGAAAGCGTATTCATGTATGTTACCAGGTACCTGGAACACAGTTAGTGATCATCAGTATTATTCATTATCATAGACTCTTACTACTTTATATATATCATCTTATTTAATCCTCTCAAAGAGTGTGTGAGCTAGGTATTATCATTATCCCCATATGACAGAAGAGGAAACTAAGGTTCAGTAACTGGGCAAAGATGACAGAGTGAGTGTCAAAGATGACAGAGTAGTGTCAAGTGCAAGCTGAGCTCCCCCTCACCTCCCCACAACTCCAGGTTCATACTTTTATACAATGCATGGTTCTGCCATCCTAGCATATATGATTGCTTCTGTCAAAAATCCTGTAAGGTGGGCAGCAGGTATATTCTCCTCATTTTGCAGGTGAGGAAACCATGGATTGTTAAGTACCGTGATATCCCTACAGTGAAAACGCTGGTAAATGGCTTAACCAAAATTCTCCTTGTAATCCGGTGCTGTTCACATTCTGTGGGCTCATTCTTGTTATACAGTAAGATTTTCAGAGTTTGATAATCCAACTTATATAGGTAATAGATACATAATGACACAAATATATATATATTTTTTCTGGCAATTTGGGGCCTTGAGATTAATGAAAAACTGAACTCTAACTCCCATACGAATTAGAACTGGGTTTCTCACTTCATTCAGCGATATTGTGTCATACACATGTAAGCAAATATGTAATTAGAAAGGCAAAACATGACTTCCACTAGGATGCTTAGATAGGAAAATAAAGAATCATTTTGACTAGATCTCTGTAAACACAAGGAATTTTACTAAACTTATTTGATTACTGGGCTTCCATTTCAAAACCAAATAGAGACTGATTAGCATCATCAGCCAAATGATTCCAATACTATCCAACCCAGCAGGTCACCCACGATTCGGTTTCCTTTCAATCTTTAGATTCACTCCAATTTTCACATTTGGTTACCAGTTGTGGGCCAAATGGCATTCTAACTTTCCTAGATGTACCTTTTATTGACTGTATCAGAGTTGCAAGAGTGGAAGAGTAATGGATCAGGATGCACCTAATATTGTGATACCACATTGCTTTCCATATTGGTTTATAGAAATCATAGTTCACTGGTCCAGAAGGAACTCGGAGTCTTCTAAATGTTGATTTCTGCTATTGCCAACTGCTAATTCTTGGAATTCCCTGTTCTTTCACACATTATTTATTCAACAATATTTATGGAATGCCTCCTAGGTGTCATGCACTGTGCTAAAGTGTCTAGTACAGTACTTTGCTTATATTCTGGAAACTTAAATGTTTTTTCTTTGACTTTTATTTGGAGAGATATGCTGATAAATTTTATATCTACCCATGAAAACTTCCATAATTATGAAACATGGAACCAAATTTCTGTTTTAAAAATCCTTAAGCAGCTTAATGAAAAGAGAGGATCCTTTGCCTATACAATGCTCCCAGGCACCACTCTGGGGCACCGATTCCTTACTCTCCAAGAGCCCAGTATTACCAACAAATCACTGAGATGACTTATGGCAGCCTGAACTATTTTTTCTGGAGTTCTTCCATCCGATGACTGACCATAGCTGGCTCCGATTAACTTGTGAGATCATAGGCAGAGGTTTTAGGTGGCACACACTCTTTCCTGAGTAAACAACTATCAGAGAATGGCCAGTAGGTACAGGTGAGGGGTTTGTGTCAGTGGATTTCTCAGTCCCTAGAGCCAGGGGAGAGCCCTTAGAGCACCATGTCAAAACACAGCACGCTCCACATTTGTTCTTTTACTTGCTTTCTATGGCAAGGCGAATTTTGTTGCATTTTAGAGTCAATTGAATAAGGCTGTTGTGCTGGATTTCATCAAGCAGCTGAAAAGCAAACTGGATGAGACCTTCATACAATGGAACAAGTGTCCAAACTCAGGCCCTCGGAAAAACACTGCTTTGTTAAAAAAAGAGAAGACCCAATTGCTACGCTAAAGTAGGAAAATACCCTTGCTCTTCAGGAGATAGATGATCAC